GTTTCGGGCATGCCATTGGCATGCCATTATTGGCATGCCATGGTGGCATGCCAGTGGCTTTCGTGCCACTCACCCTACTACCCGGGGCATCGCCCGGGCCTGAGAGAAGTAAAGGGTTTATTATCGTGGTCAGAATTTGATGACTTTTATACCATTAGATTCGTCTCATCAAGACGAATCTAATGGTATAAAAATCATCAAGATATCTTTGATTTAATAAAATGAAAAATTTTAAACGTATAACGATCTATAAATTATTTTATTGGTCAATCATCACGTGCAAATATAGCCAATCGCAATAAGCGCTTAATTTCATGTGATCTACAAAATTTGTAGTTTTATTGGATAGATTGAATTTGTAACGATGATTGTCCGTGCACTAGCTAGTGCACTGACCAAAAGACCCGGGGTCTAATACAAAATACCCGTCAAAAAACTTACAAAAGACCCGGGTATATTATCTATAAAGAGAGTGTAACTATATAGGAGGTGACTGAAGAGGAGGACAACTGTATATTATGCCAAAAAATAATATAATCAAAGTAATTGTTGATTATAAGCTATAATTTGGATTTATAGTATCGGTGTACCCTACCAAGTTAACAGACATTGGTTTTGTTCACCATAATCTCTTAGAATTACCTCTTACAACAGGTGGATATAATTATGTTTTTACCCGTATATGTACATAATTCACAAATTTTTTCTTACTGATTTAAACAGATGTGTAAAGTATCATTCTAGAATAATTAAATATCAAAAATGTAAAATTCTAATTTCTATACATTTGCATAAATACAAACACTATGCAATAAATTTATACAATTAACTAAATTCTTGCAATTGAGGTTCACGTTTATTTTTTGTGAAGGCAGCAGAGCACTTTGCCATAGTTTGACTTGATCGAGAAATGCTATCTGCCATATAAAAATCCTGAATTATAGGGTTTAATTTAGCATCAGATGAATTTGTCGCTAATTCCGAGAGATGCTCAATACCCAATTGTGAGTTACTAGTGTTCTCGGTTACACCATAACGAGTGAGATGTGGTGCGATATCATTCATGCGATCGCGGAGAGAAGGAAGATCATCGTAAGGCAAAGTGAATCCAGCAATCTCAGATAAAGCACGGATGATCTAGCAAAGAATTTTTCAGCCACTAGCCTTGGGCATTAGAAATTAGATTGTAATCTTAATACATACCTTCCAATCTTCACGTGAAGAAGCTGGTGGGGGCACTGCGGCTCGAGTAAGCTGTACACGACCTTCAGTGTTTAAATACGTAGCACTCTTTTCTGTATAGGCTACTCCAGGAAGAACTATATCAGCATAATGAGCTCCTACATCACCATGATGCCCTTGATATACTACAA